AGCCCATTCTGTGGGCTGTCTTTTCACTTTCTGGATAATGTCCTTTGTGCACAAAAGTTTTGACGAAATTTGTGTATTTTTATTGTTCTTACTCATGCTTTTAGTGTTATATCTATGAATCCATTGCCACATCTAAGGTCATGAAGATTTACCCCTTTATGTTCTTTTAAGCATTTTATAGTTTTAGCCTTTCTATTTAGGTCATTGATCCATTTTGAGCTAATTTTTGTATATAATGTGTGGTAGGGGTTCAACCTCATTAGAACCATTGACTTGTATATGTTTTGTGTTTTATTTTTTTTAATAGGAGAAATGGCAGGCAAGCAGCTGCAGCCATTCTTAACCCCAGCTACCTTAGGATCACCTGAGGAACTTCTAAACATCCAGACCAAGTCTACCATTATCTCCAGAGAGGGGCCCAGGCATCAGTATTTTTTAAAGCCCACCAAGTAATTCCAGCAGGCAGTCACTGAACTACAGTGACCAGTGACCAACTGTCTTGGTTTTCCCAGGGCTGGGGAGCTTCCAGGGACATGGGACTTTCAGTCCTAAAGCTGGAAAAGTCCTGGCCAAACCAAGACACACTCCTCTCTGATACAACCTGACCCTTTTCAACAGCTGTACTTTGGAACATTCGACTTCCTTGATCTGGAGGTGCACGGGGACTTGATTTCTCTGCCGTCCTTGCCCCCCAGGTGGATTTGGTCAATGAAACCCCAGGTGGATTTGCTCCATTCCGGAGAGGTCCATGAAAACACTCCCTCACCCCATAACTTCCAGGACCTATATCTCCTTCATATCTGGCCAACAGGAATCTTCTCACCACTGCAAGGGGGAACCAAAATAAAACCCCAGAAAATTGCATCCCCACCAATTAGCGAGAGTTTCTCTTTCCATCAGTTACCTGGCTGAACCGAGATTCTCTGTTTGCTTCAAGGTATTCCCACAGGCTTCCTCATTAAACCAGTGGCTCTCACACTTCAGTGTGCATCGGAATCACCCAGCAGACTTGTTAAAACATTTTGATTGTTGAAACAGCAATCAAATTATGAACCCATGAAAGGGGGCAGTTTTGGTGGAAGGAGCTCAGGCAGTCCCTATGGTGATGGTTATGGATCTGGTAGTGGAAACAGTGGATATGGTAGCAAAAGGTTCTAAAAACAGCAGAAGAGGAGGCTGGGCACGGTGGCTCACACCTGTAATCCCAGCACTTTGGGAAGCCGAGGTGAGTGGATCACCTGAGGTCAGGAGTTCGAGACCAGTCTGGTCAACATGGTGAAACCCCATCTCTACTAAAAATACAAAAATTAGCTGGGCATGGTGGTGGGTGTCTGTAATCCCAGCTACTCGGGAGGCTGAGGCATGATAATCGCTTGAACCCGGGAGGCAGAGGTTGCAGTGAGCCGAGATCATGCCTCTGCACTCTAGCCTGGGGGATAGAGCGAGACTCTGTCTCCAAAAAAATAAAAAATAAAAACAGTGGTAAAGGGCTACAGTTCTTAGCAGGAGAAAGAAAGAGAAGTTTTGGGAAAGCAGCAAGTTACCTTGAAACAGTCATCCCAAATGCATTAGAAGAACTGTAAAAATCTGCCATGGAAGGAATGATGACACATAGTTAGAAAACTTACTGTAGCTTAAACAGAAAACCCTTCTTGTTCAGGACTGTCATAGTCACAGTTTGCAAAAAGTGCAGCTATTGATAATGCAATGTAGCATTGGCTAGATGCACATCCCTATGGTCTTTTATCTGCTGTAGCTTTTTCTTTTTCTTTTCATTACATCAGGTATATTGCCCTGTAAATTGTGGTAGTGGTTCCAAGAATAAAAAATTAAGGAATTTTTAACTTTTCAATATTTATATAGTTCAGTTTTTCCACATTTCTGAACACTTTAACAAAATACAGTTTTGAGGGTGTTTCCTTGTGAGTTAACAAGAAGACCATTGTGAATTACTATTTTGCATAAATTTTGCTAACGTTAACTGTAAAGAAACACCAGCTGACTTGCAGTTTAAGGGAATTCTATTCTCCCCATTTCCAAACCATGACCTGAATGGGTGCTGACATGTGGAGAGAATAGATATTTGTATGCTTGCAATGTCTGTTTTAGAAAAATAGGATTGGATATTTAAATTAGCATATTTATGAATTTAATAGCATTAAGATTACCTTCAAATGAAAAAACTCTCAAATTTCAAAATCAAAATAAAAGAAGCAAAACTCCCTCAAGCTGAGGGCCCACTCACCCAGGAGAGCACGGGCCTCATTATAAAACAGCTGGTATCTCTGTTCCAAGGCATAAGAAAATCATGCTTGAAGCTCCTTTCCATTGGGAAGGAAAACAAACCTGCTCCCCTGTTCTTTCCGCTTGACTTCTTTTCCAAGATTAGCATAACAGCTAAGGGCTTTAGCCAGCCAAGGCAGCTTCCCCAGGCTTCAGAAATCAAGCAGCCAGCCTCGCCTTCATAGGCGTAAGTAGAACTCAAGGTCATGCTCCCGTTCGGGGCAAAGTAAATGAGAACTGAGTGGCTCCACCTGGAAGATTCGATCTGTGGTTAGAGAAACTCACAGAGTTCCATCTGGAGCTCACTACCTCTTCTAGCAAACCCTGCCTCCCCAACACAAGAGAAAATCCGTGATGTCGTTTAATCTCACAGGTTGTCAGGGATCATCTCAATCTTGGGTGCGGGAAAAGTAAAGCATTTCTCAGTGTTGGCTGCGCCTTCTATATCAGAATTCCCCAGGGTACGTGTTATAAATTCCAAGCCAGAGATGGGTGCAGTGGCTCACACCTGTAATCCCAGCACTTTGGGAGGCTGAGCATCCCTTGAGCCCAGGAGTCCCAGGCTGCTGTAAGCCACGATTGCGCCACTGCACTCCAGCTGGGTTGACAGACCAAGATCCTGTCTCTAAAAAATAAAAATAAATAATAATAATAAACTCCAGGCCTGCCCCAGAACTATTGGATCCAAATCTCAGGGAGTGCTGGGCCTGAGCATTGCACTTTTTGTATATGGTGTCTGGCAATGCTACACACATGCTGATATACAAGAACTTCTATCCTGGAAATTAAATAAACTCCGCTAGGCTGAGTCCATGCAGTAGTAGAAACCATGGAAGTCAGGGAGGGAGCTGGGGCTGAGGGATGAGAAAGGGAAGGAGGTCAGAGTCTATGCAGAGAACAAGAGATTGATACCATATGTTTGTGAAGCACTTTGAATTTCACTTTAAAAATAAAATTAAAATCACAGCAGCTGTTTGTCTATGATTTATGCAACTTTTCCAAGATGCTATTCTTCAGTTAAAAGTTTCCTTAAAAAATAAAACAAATTAGGAGTTAAATCAAGGTCACAAGGCCCCTCGCCAGAGCCTTGTGTTTCCTGAACTCGCAGCTTCTTAAAGGACTCCCCCCACCCCCACACCCTCCTTCTTGCCTGCAGTGCCTCCCTCCTTTCTAAACATTAAGTCCTTTACGCCCAATCCAACAAAAACAAAAGGATCATTCTCATCTGTTGCAACACAGGATCTCAGAGAGGATCGTTTTAAACACACTGTGAATTAAGGTAGTATACAGATTCCAAGACTTCTTAGGGTGTTCTAACTCCTCCTCCAAGCCCACTCACCCGTACACTGACAGGCATTCTTTCCTAGGAGAATTACATTTTCTGGTGGGTTTCTATGGTCACCACACGTGCCTAGCCTTGTATAACCAAGACCAGGAGGTCACCTGGCCATTTGGAAGCCAAAGACACAGCTAGCTCTGCTTCTAGTTTTACTCATCTCTGCACGCATTCTTCAACCAATTCTTCTTCCTCTGGAACATACTCCTGAGTGAGCTATGTGCAGACCCCCTGATTTTCACCAACCCCAAGACCCCGGCTGGGACTTATGTTCACTGCCATGTTGTGCTTATACCTGATCTCACTGAGGATATGTGGATTTGGGGTAACTTAGAAGACTGTTTTATGCTTTACACTGACTCCCATCTGCTTTTGCAAACTTGAATCATTCTGACTCAAAATATTAGATTTTTGGTCAATAATCCTTCTATTTAATGAAGCCAAAAGGTATATTATGAAGGCCAAAATTATAAAACACTTTGATTTTATCTCCTCATCTGTAAAATGAGCAGAAGAAACTGTTAGATTCCTTAAAAATCCTTCCAACACTGAACTTATAAATCACAATAGTAGGCTGAGTGTGGTGGCTCATGCCTATAAATCCCAGCATTTTGGGAGGCTGAGGCAGGCAGATTGCTTGAGATCAGGAGATCAAGACCAGCCTAGGCAACACGGTGAAACCCCGCCTCTACTAAAAATACAAAAATTAGCCAGACTTGGTGGTGCACACCTGTAGTCCCAGCTACTCAGGAGGCTGAGGCAGGAGAATCACTTGAACCCAGGAATCAGAGATTGCAGTGAGCCGAGATTGTGCCACTGCACCCCAGCTTGGGCAACAGAACAAGATCCTGTCTCAAAAAATAAAAATAAAAATAAATCGTCTTCATTTTAGAAAACAAGAAACTGGGGCTTAAAGTAATGTTGAACAATTAACTCAAAGTCAAAGAGTAGTGGCAGAGCAGATTTCAGGACTCTGAAAGCTATCCTTTCAGTCACTGTACTATAAGCCTAGGTTCAGCTCCCAGGCAATGTCCTGTGTGCTGAACCAGGGAAGACAGACCACATAGACATTTCAGTTTAAAGCGTCAATATCTTCCCTGAATCCCTGCCATTCTATTATATTGCTGACAGTAGAATGATCTATAATCCATCTACTGATCAATTAACATAGTTTGTGAAAAGCAAACAAAATCAGCTTCCTGGTCAACATTGCCCACTTCAGTTTTACAAAGAGAACATTGCCAAACAGCTATCCCCTAAAGGTTGAACTCCCTCTGACACCGGTGACCAGAGTGACATTCCAGAAAGGTTTTGGGAACCCAAGTGCAGCCAGGACGCCTCCCGCTGCATCTAGGCTGCCCCGGCCAACAGGGTCCCTTACCTGCGGCTCCTGCAGGCGGCTGCCACGTGATGAACCGGAGCCCGTTCCTGACTCGGGAGGGCTGCTTTTCCGGGCAGTGGCCAAATGTGATGACTCGGCTAAATTTTCCCAGCCCTGAATTCCTAACATACAAGAAGCGAAATTAGGAGGTGACGCAGGGTCTGTTCAGGATAGCGGGTCGGCACAGAGTGATGGAAAGTGAGAATCAAAAAAGAGGGGAAAGTCAAAGTTTATAGAGTATTGGGGCGGGAGTGGGAATTGTTCTGGAATGAAACCGACAAGAATACTATGGGCTGGCACAAGCATCACTTGCGCCCTTTGCTTCCCCACGCCATGCTGAGGTGTTTTTCCTTCTCCTTGCTGTGATATCCCCCGTCATTCTTCCCTCATGTCAGCCTGACCCACACTTTCTGCAGAAATTTGGTAGACAGCACTTCTGGGGACCTTCCCTCTGCACCAAACAAAACGGCCCTGTCAAGGCCCGTTCCCCCTGCGGCCGCGAGATGGCGGCATGACTCAATGGACGGGTTCCAGGCGGCCTCTGCACAGAGATGCCGCCGTGGCTGCCTCCTTCCTTACATAATCCTGTTAAGAGCGCATTTAATCTAAGGATGGGACACTGTGTTCCATGCCAGGCAGACTCATCGTGACTGACTGTTGCACCAACAACAAGAGCTTTAACCGCTGATGTCCCTTCCTGCTCAAGAAACACCATATGTCCTGAAAGGAGCGATTTAAGCTCTCAAAATGATTTGTTGGTAAAAAGTAAAGCAAAATTAAAATCAGGGAATTACAGCACCTGCAGAATTTAGGAGCCTCTCTCCCTCATCATCCCTTCTTCCCCGGACTCTCCAACCATGTGCATAAATCTATTTATCAATAATTAGTTATCGTCTCGCTCTGCCTTGGGTCATATGGAAAATATGTCCTAACAGAAAAAAAGAACAGTTATACTTTCGAAGATGGAGGGGCTTATTGTTATGCTAATAGATAATGAAAACTTCTATGTGCCAAATGTTGGGATAAATATTACATAGACTATCTCATTCAATTGTTACATCAAACCAAAAGTTAATACTCCTACTATAGTCTCCATTTTAAGGCTGGAGAAACTGAGGCACAGGGAGATTACCTTGACAAAGGTCATGCAGTTAATTCATGGCAGAGTTAAAATTCAGCCACAGGCAGGCTAATGTGAGAGCTTGGACTCAGCCATGATGCTATGCAGTGGACTGGTCTAGAAAACCCAATGAGGAGATAAGCAGAAAAATATAAACCAGAGAACTATGTCAGAGTGGAATATGAAAGAAAAAAGGCAGAAAGAAAGAAAATCGATGCTGCTGAGAAAATAAGAAGAATGAGGCTAAAACATCACCCTTTTCAGATTAAGTTACAAGGGCACCACTGTGACATTTGAGGACACAATTTCAATAGAGTGATAGAGAAAGGAAGCTAGACTGCAAAACTAAGGGGCTATGAGGAAAGAGGAAATTGAGATGTCTTGCTGCAAAAGGAAAGCAATAAATAGACTAGAAGAGACAGCAAGGTCAGGCAAAAGCATTTTGGTTTTCTTGTGTGCTTTTAAAAATGGAATAAAGCCTGGCCTTGTTTGAAAGTGGTTGCAAGGGAGCCCTAATATGTGGGTGGTGCCGAGTAGTGGTAATAGGAAGAGGTGGAGGGGGGCATCAAGGGCACAAAGGAAAGGGTTAGCTCTGGAGGAGAAAGAAAGGTGGCTGCCTCTGTCTGCAACTGGGAGACAGCCACAGAGATGAAGATACATCAACACGAAACTGAGAGGAATGGGCGAGTTCAATTCTTCCAAAATAGCTTTAATCTTTTCAGTAAAACCAGAGTGAGGTTATCGGCCAAGAGTGAGAATGAGGTTTATATGGCCATAATCTATATACTGAACTAATCCATGTAGTGCTTAGAATGACCAAAAAGGTAATAAGATTATCCAAAGAACAGAGGAGACTAGAGAAGGGAAGTCTGAAGTATGACTGTAAAGATTCTCTGCAGAATCTCCTTTGTGAATCAAAACTGAAATTTACATCCCCTCCTCCCCTCGAACAGAAACACAGCAGGCACGCTATTAATAATCCCTTGTGTCTAAAGTTTCTTTGTATTCAAGTTTTAAGACATTTCACAGAGAAATAGTATCTTCTCTACTGCTAAATAGGAGAACTACTATGCAGATAAATTTTCCTGTTTGGCTTAAAACTACAAAGAAAATCAGGGCCAGAACTGGAATTGATGTCCAGGAGCCTCTCTGATACTTGCACAGTGCTGCCTTCAGCTCTACTAAACAATTCTCATAAAGGGCCTGGATGCAGCTAACTGCCCCTAGAGAATCCCAGACACAGCACAAACATGGGAAGCATCAAAATCAACTCATGATGCCCACAAGAGTCTAAGATTCTCCTTATGTGGCCCTGGGTCACAGTACTGTTCTTTGGAAATTAGAGGGCAAGTTTGATAACTTGATTGCAACATATTTGTATACCGATAACACGATGTCTTTAAAAGAACACACCATAATTATTTAATGTAAGGGTTTAATGACTCTATTTTCATTCTCAATTAACATTTTCTTATTGCCAGAAGTACACTGGGGCTGACACAATTGGAAAAAGCAAAGAGGGTAATTATTTAGCCTGCATTACTGATGAAAAGGGCAACAGGCAAAGCTAAAGCAATCCACAATTCACCTTCTGTTTAGACGCAGATAAGGACAAAAGAGAGTCACCAATCAAAATGGTTTATCTTCAGTTTCAGGACTTTCAGAAGCACTTCCCTGTGTGTGTGCATGCATAATGTGTAATCGGAAATTTATCTTTTTTATTTCATTTCTTTTTTTTTTTTAAATGAGACAGAGTCTCACTCTGTCACCCAGGCTGGAGTGCAGTGGGGGTATCTTGGCTCACTGCAACCTCCTCCTCCCAGGTTCAAGTGATTCTCATGCTTCAGCCTACCGAGTAGCTGGGACTACAGGCGCCTGCCACCATCCCAGCTAATTTTTGTGTTTTTGAAAGAGACGGGGTTTCACCATGTTGGCCAGACTGGTCTCCAACCCCTGACCTCAGGTGATCTGCCCGCCTCTGGGATTACAGGCATGAGCCACCGCGCCCTGCCAGGAAATTTATCTTAAAGGGAGAGATTTAAGTTTCCTCCCTCTCGTCTTCTTTCAGGAAATACATCCCCCGCACCCCGCCCTCCAGCTAAGTGAAACCCTCTCTTGATTTTCACTTCTAAAAAGAAAATCAGCCACCTCCTTAGCCACAGGTTGTGATTACCAGCTTCTCTTTCTTTCTTTCTTTCTTCCAGTGTTTACTGAGATCCTGCTTCCATGGAGGCAGAGTGCTCGGCAGGTGGGGCCAACACTCACACTGCGCTCTCCAGGAGAATCGACCAGCAGCGGACTTGGGACTGGGGCTTATGTGCCCACAGCGCAAGGCAGGAATTGATAAGAGCCAAGGAGAGGAGGTGATAATGAGTCAAAGGGCAGTCACTAGGGAAAACCCTTCGTAGAGGATGGAGCATCCACTCCTGTGCTTAGTGAAACCAGTTAGACAGAGATGAGAAACGCCTCCGAGGAGGCAGGCCCAGCGAGAACACGAGGCCATGAAAGCACGCCAGCTAGCCACCCCGATGAGCCACCTAACCTGACTCCTCCACAATCCACTCGCCTCCAAGGTGGACAGCCTTGGGAGACCCTTCCCAAACTTCATGCCACATTTGCTTCCCACTCCTCTACCTATGCGTTATAATCTAAAAACACAGGTATTTTGGCTGCTAGTCTTTGCATGAAATAGATGCTGCAGGAAGAAGTTTTGGGGTTTATCCCTCGGCTTCAAATACCCTCCAGCACATGGAGACAGGAGTGCCCCATGGCCCAGGTCTCCTCACGCCCAGATGCAGTTCTCCAAAGTCTGTAAACAGTAAGCTGTCTCATCCAACCCTCCATCTGGCTGTTATGCCTTCCGTTTTCTCTATTTTATTTCTTGGTAGTTACTATTGGTGCCAGAATGCGAGAAAAAATTCAAGCTCTTTCTGTAGCCTCTTGGCCTGGGGTAATCTCTGAAAATGATTTGCCTATCCCTTGACTCAGAAAACTCCACAAAATCATGCAAACCAAGGCGTTCAAATCTTTATGTTACCTTTAAGAACACCCATGTAACTGTGCAGGCCATCAAGGTATACATACCCCAAAAAACACCAAGTACCTGAAAGATGTCACTTTTCAGAGGCACTGTGTGCCTTTCCATCATTACAAAGGTGGAGCTGGCGTGTGTGCCCAGGCCAAACCATGGGGCTGGACGCAGGCTTCATGACCCAAAAAAAGTGTCGAATTTTTGCTGCATGTGCTTAAAAATGCAGAGAGCAATGCTGAACTGCAGGGTTTAGATGTAGATTCTTGGATCATCGAGCACATTCAGTTGAACAAAGCCAAGATGTACACCATATTTACAGAGCTCATGGTCAGATTAACCCATATGAGAGATCCCTCTGCTACATGGAGATGATCTTCGCTGAAAAGGAACAAATTGTTTCTAAACCAGAAGAGATATTTACACACAAGAAAAAGGCATCCCACAAGAAACTGAAGAAACAACACAGCCTAGGAATACATTCAGTATAAGATAATTGCAAATAATAGTTTAGCCAGGCATGGTGGCTCACGCCTGTAATCCAAACACTTTGGGAGACTGAGGCAGGAAGATCTCTTGAGCCTAGGAGTTTGAGACCAGCCTAGGCAGCATAGGGAGACCCCCATCTCTATAGTTAAAAAAAAAAATTTGTAATTACCCAGGCAAGGTGGCATGTACCTGTGGTCCTAGCTACTTAGGAGGCTAAGGCAGGAGGATTGCTTGAGCTCAGGAGGTCAAGGCTAAAGTGAGACATGATTGTGTCACTGCACTCCAGCCTGGGTGATAGAACAAGACATTGCCTTTTCTTTTCTTTTTTTCTTTTCTTGTTTTTCTTGAGACAGAGTCTTGCTCTGTCACCCAGGCTGGAGTGCAGTGGTGTGCTGTCGGCTCACTGTAACCTCTGCCTCCCAGGTTCAAGCAATTCTCCTGCCTTAGCCTCCCGAGTAGCTGGGACTACAGGTGCGTGCCACCATGCTCGGCTAATTTTTTGTATTTTTAGTAGAGGTGGGGTTTCACCATGTTGACCAGGCTGGTCTCAATCTCCTAACCTTGTGATCCAGCCACCTTGGCCTACCAAAGTGCTGGGATTATAGGCGTGAGCCACCACATTCAGCCAAGACACTGTCTTTTTAAAAAAAAGTTTTAAAAAAAAAAAGGCCAGGAGTAGCGGCTCACGCCTATAATCCCCACACTTTGGGAGGCCAACACAGGAGGATCACCTGAGGTCAGGAGTTCAAGATCAGCCTGGCCAACGTGGTGAAACCCCATCTCTGCTAAAAATACAAAAATTAGTCAGGTATGATGGTGCATGCCTGTTATTCCAGTTACTTCGGAGGCTGAGGCAGGAGAATCACTTGAACCTGGGAGGCAGAGGTCGCAGTGAGCCAAGATCACACCACTGCACTCCACTCCAGCCTGGGCCACAAGAGTGAGACTCCATCTCAAAAAATAAAAAATAAATAAATAAAAATTAAATTAAATTAAAATTTTTAAAAAAGTTCAAGTTTAAATGCCTTTCCTACCTGAGATATTAATTACTCCCATACCATCACCAACACCCCACTTCCAAAAGGTAATTGTGAACTTCTGTAAACATTTTTCAGTTGAACTGGTTAAGTCTTTAGCAATCAATCAACTGTGTTGAACTACAATGTCTAGCAGAATCAGTTGAATCCTGAAACTGTTCTGTGCTGTCTTACCTGAGCTAGGCAATGAGGAGCACAGCGTGGCTAGCTTCTCGCTCTGTGCTTATCCTGATGAAGGGTGAATATGAATCAGCCTAGAAGCATCTCTGTCCTTTAAACAAGCTTGCAGTGAACAATAAACCACATTTTGTCCTTGAGGATGAAACATAGGCCAGATGAGAGTTTTATCACAAGAAAGAAATACATAATAAGGCCTCTGCTATCTGCCCCTGATAATTGCTAATGATACATTCTAAATGATGCAGTTTTGCAAACTTCTAAGATTCTCACGTTACATTTCCTATTTGTGCAAGGGCCCAGCGAGAAAGCTATACATGTTTTATTGTGGAAGAGAACAGAATCAGTAAACAGCACCACGAGACGTCAAACCAATCCTGCAGACAACACTGCCTATGATCTCTGCTCTTAACACCTCAAAGTCTTCTTAGGCTATTTGTCATTTTCTCCTCTCAACCTTGGAAAGGGGGTCATTCGTGTGCTTCTTTGACATATGGGGAAACTTGGGGGAGTGGGGAAGAGTGAGTGGGGAACTTCCCCCAAAGTCTCAAAGCTAGGTGAAAGGGTTGGGATCTAAATGTTTGGCTTCCTCTTGAGCTTTGTCCAGCCAGAGTTATTCTATGGATTCTGCCTTTCGCCTCTAAAGGCAGATTCTTATTCCCATGGGCTTCCTTCCTCCCACTTTTTAAAAAATCTTTTCTCAACTTGTTTTCTTCTCTGCCCCCCCCCCACCCCCACCTGCCTTGTTTCTATTTTAAGTTTGTTTTGAGCATTGCTTAACATATTCCTTCCTCTTGAACTAACCATAGTCTTAACATTCCACGGCTTGTCCTTCAATTTTACACTTACAGTAGAATCCAGTCAAATCCCACAAAGCGACAAACCTGTAGGCATTTTATGATGAGAATCATGAGTAGCCATTTTCTGATGAGACTGGGAGTGATGTCAGGCACAATGTGACCAATAAAACAATAAACCCATGCCCAAAAGTGCTTTACCATGCCTGCTGCTGTCATAAAGATCCAGTCTATTACTGGAACCATTGACTCTTCCTTTTGAGATTGAAGAAGACTCTAAGAGTAGAACCTTTTTTTTTATATACCCCACAACAGATACATTGCAACAATCCTGCCTTTGATCCTATAATACCAGCTTCCCACAACTCCATCACAGCATTACTGCACCTTTCCCATTATTGTTCATTTAATTTCTCCAGTAAAGAACAAAAGAACAGCCAGGCACAAGAGGTCACACCTGTAATCCCAACAATTTGGGAGGCCAAGGGGGAGGGCGGGTCACCTGAGGTCAAGAGTTCGAGACCAGCCTGGCCAACAAGGCAAAACCTCATCTCTAC